GACCCTCTGATTGCGAGTCGAGCGCCCTAACCACCTGGCCATGCCGGACCAAATCTGTGTTATTTAACAAATTTTGAAACTTAATTTGAAATACGTAGAATTTTGCAGACGTATTCATGTAACGAACAGCTGAATACTAGGTATTTATTACACGTTTGTCGTGTGAAATACATTTAAATATCATTTGTTTCTTTAGATATTTTAATAAAAGTGTAGAGAGCATGTCAACACCACCCACAACCAACTCTTGAGCTACATTTTCATTAAAGAATAGTGGATTGACCATAACATTATAATGGTCCCATGGATGAAAGGGCGAACATGTTCGGTGAAGATGATTCGAACTCACGGACCTCAAATTGTGAGTCGAGCCCTTTAACCACCAGGCCATGCGAGATCCTCTTATATCAAATAATCTTCCATATTCTTCAAAACCTATAATTGGTTAGTGTAAAGTTCTGTCGACTGTGCCACTTTGTAATAGACACTAATGGTTAGAAAGTAACTTTTTATAAATACTATTTACTTAACCTTATAACGACGATGCCATTTTTAAAACCCTTTCTTCGTACGTTACTGAGTTATATTCAAAATGTAACTAAAACCACTTTACTATCAATGTATTTTAATGAAACTATTATTCTAAAGTTTGATATAGTTGAAAATGTTTTATATTATATTAGTTTTTACTCATTTATTTCAAAAGAAACATTGAAAGAAATAATGAAATTTCCCACTTTTGTGTCACATGACTCACGAGCTATAAACAATGTCGACATTTGGCAAAGTATAGCTTGAAGCATAAGTGGATGGTCATGTATAAATTATTCTAGAATAGAATATAGTTTACTTGTCCTTCTGATACATATGTTTCAAAGTATTTTCACTGAATGCAGTTGAAACAAGAAATAAAGTTTTTCTACCCCTGACGGGTGCTATGTCCACCTTCACATTGAGCTTTAGAAGTTACATGTACTTTCAACATCTACGTGTTTATGGTCGTTAGAAAGAGCTCATTTTACACTATAGTCCAATAATGGTTATTCTGAAATTGGCACCAAGTTGTCGTCCTTGCGTTGATGTAACTACTCGAAATATTGTTGGCTACTTTCTTTATGATAGGTTGTTTTTTATCTAAACGTGTTACAGTTAGGGAGACAGTTAAATTGTATTTAGGTTTTATTTTTATATTTTAATTAATTACATATAATTCATGCTTTAAAGTGCATAATTTGAAAGATTTGACAATTTTATAATAAAATTCAAACTTTACCTCATTTCACAAGAGTTAACTTATTACAAGAGTACATAAACATTCAGCAGAAGGTTTACATGTTTCTGCCAATAATAACGTAAAAAGCTGGAGTCTTCCCATAGTGGAGTGTCGAGATGATTAATAAATGGTAAAGAACACAAATATTAAAAATAAACTACATATGAAAAGTTAACTAGGTGAAATTACGAATATAACCAAAAGAAGATACTATAAGATTATTCAATGAATAATTAAAATATTTTTATGTCTAAATTTTAAAAATTCCATTGCACTATACATTGATCATAATATGTAAAATTAGTGTTGTGGTAGAGAAAGTTAAAGATAGAATATAAACATTTATCTTTAAAACTTTTGATATTCATTTAGAACGTTCTAGAGAGTAATGCAAATTAAATTTTAAAACTGTAAGACGAAAAAATTACTTTAAATCTTAACATAAAAATCATCTTGCATTTGGACTAGTAACAATATGAGTGAAATATTATAAAATAAATTCGGAAATTCGCACGTAGACAAGATGAGTAATGATACCCAGGTGCACACCCTCAGGTTTCACTTAGTATGAGTACAAAATTTCAGGTTTCTAGGTTCTCTCCTCTTGGAACTATGGTGGCCACATACACACAGACACGCCCTTTTATATCATACCAGCAAAAGTTATTAGGTTGATATATCCTAGATTACTATGTCAGTTTGTGTGTGTTCTGAACTTATTTGAGCATAAAAGTATAACCTATATAGTTTTGTTGCTCCTTTATGGGATGTCGCCTGTTTATAAAGATAACTTCCCTCTGACTTGTCCTCCGATTTTAAACTTAAATAATAAAAGAAACAATAAAAACAAACCTCTTTAATTAACGGACCCTCTAAATTACAAAACAACAAATATATTTTTCAATTTTGTATTTTATACATTTGATTTTATACTTTCAACACATAGCCTCTTAACAGCAATTTTAGGTCATATTTTTATTGCTAAGCAACATGATATGAAAGACATTGTTGGAACACATTATTACCAAAATGCATTGTCCTTTCTATATATTAGAAGTTGTTATACAAGGAACCACTTCTTTTATGTGGTTTTTCACTAGATTGCCTCATTAAAAATATGTGCACGCACGTGCGTGTCTGTCTGTGATTTATATCTGTAAGTTGTAATATAAGGAACCACTTCTTTTTTTATATGGTTTTCACTAGCTTGTCTCATTTACAGGATGCGCACAGAGATAAGATAAGTAATAATAACTAGGTGCAGAACCTCAGGGTCCACTTAATATGGGTACAAAATTTCAAGTTTCTAGATTCTTTTGTCTAGGACCTAAGGTGGTAAATTTTTTTTTATGTGGTTTTTTCATAAAAGGATGTGTACTCCCATGCGCACACGTACGTAGATAAGTAATAATACCCAGGTACAAACCCTCAGGGTCCACTTAGTATGGGTGCAAAATTTCACGTTTCTAGGTTCTTTCCTCTTGGAGTTATGATGGTCACACTCACATAGATATGCCCTTTTATTATTATAGATATATATTCAATAGCTTTGAAACTTCAGAATTGACTCCTTTAATCGAGATATATCTCTCAGATCTTTCATTTTCAAGTATCTATTGTTTAAAAATGTTATTATAAGTTTAAAAACTCAAAACTATGGTTAAGAATGACCTTTCTTGTTGTTGAAATGTATTTTGTGATGTAGTTTCTGTAAGCTTACCATTACTTTTCATCTAATGAAATATATGATACTAATCTTGTTTTGTTTAACTTTTCGATTTTTAGGTCCTGGTATTTATGCTCTCGTATTGTATCTTTTTGGAAAATTGTGTGTTATATTTGCTATTCAAGCCATGTTTCTCTATGGAGCTGAACTGTTTCCAACTACAGTGCGTGGAAGAGGCCTAGTTTATCTCAATTTCTGGGTCAGTTTTCTGTCCATCTTTGTACCTTATGTGGACTACCTTGTAAGTGAAACTTACATAATATATAGTATCTATGTTTCAGTAATGCAAAAGTTTTATATAATTTCAATGATTTGGTTTTAGTGTCGTTATGATGGAAACTAATGAAATGATAACGTGGATTGTTCGAAATGTTCTCTTTAGCCTGAATAGACATAATGAACCTAATGTTGAGAATGATATTTTTACCAAATGTTTAAGTAGAAACTTTAATGTATTGTGGATTTTGAATTAGAGGTGAATACAAATAACTCCCATCTATCTTATGAGTGGTTCAAGTGACTTTTTCTCAATACTATGGTTCATCATCTAGGTAGGGCCTATAAATTCCAATATTATAGTTGAAGTACTTTGTATACAGAACTAATACGCCAGATGTTTAGGTGTGAAACACTTGCAGTGGTATAATATGGAAACTCTTTAAACCTAACTAATTGACTGATGTGTCATCACTTTGTACTGCAGGTTTTTTCTAACATTTTTCTGAGTTTGTTCAAACTCTTATAGACGTTGGCTGTTGAACAATGATCTGAAAGACGACAAATAGTCTTACAAGATACCCAGCACTGCTGTATTATACAAAATAATACTTTTGTCAATTGTTAAACATTTAGTCAAAATTCTAAAATAAATTGTTAAGTTTCAATGATTGAAAAACAATATTATTACCACAGCAATATATATATATATACTCTTATGACCATTTTAATAACACCTACTCACACATTTGTAGAATTTTAGTCTCAGCTGGCAAATAGAACAATCATGTGGTACGTTATGTGATTATTTGAATCCTGTAAATTCAGAAATCAAGGTATATTACAGTTAGTCTGCAAGATATTGTGCAAGGACAAGGAAATCTCAATATTACAAATGGAGCGTAAAGTAGGCAGTCGTCTAGAAGGTACATTGTTATCAAAAGCAACATTTGTGATTGCCTCTTCATACGTATTTACCATTATCGTGTATTAAATGCGGATTGGATATTGCTTTGTTGGCAGTGCAAGCTGCTGGAGGTGGTGTAATAGTGTGGGAAACGTTTTTGTGATAAGGCTTTTTTTCATTTATTTATAGTATCTATATGCAAACTCAGTTTTCATTTTGATAGACGTTATTACAGCAACCTACTAAGCTCATATTGTCTAAAATAGATTTATAGTGTTTGACATTAACTTCAGCTATCTTATTTTATTTTGGTCATCACAATAGTTTTGATTGCAATCCAACTGATAATCTTTAATTTGAATTGGAACGTTACATTCGGAATTCTGCGAATTAACTGTAAGCCATATTTCTTGACCAAAGGTTTCCAATTGAAAAATACATCTTCCAGCATCCTGTGGAGTTTATGTCACACCAAGTACATGGTCCACTTGGTAATGGGTGGAGGTAGTCTTAATAAAATAGACAGTCAGTATAAATGATATAGTTGTTGTCACATCTTAATGAGCTCTCTGACTGTTTGAGCAAACTTTTAACTGAACTGAAGATTTTTTAGTTATTTCTTTACGAAGCAATGGTATCTGTTACAAACCACATTAATGGTGTTTTAATGTTGTTTTTTAACTCTCACTTCGATATCCCACGATACTGCAGCAGCTCAAAGAATATGCATAGATATTGGTAATAATTAATTTCTCGCTAACTTGAACAAAACATCTCTGTCTTCAAAATATTCTGATGTTCTCTCCACCAATTGTTGGTGAAAATAAAATGTTAAAGACTTGATATGGGTGGTATTATCCAAAACAGAAAAGCAGGTCGAAGCAAAAGATTGATGTTCATACTCAGCGGTTACTACACTGTTAGGTCAGAGACCCCTAGGATTCAGATATATAGCAGTCCCTAATTTTCAACTACTGAACAGAGGAAATGTAGCCAATCAGCAGCGATAACCACCACCAGGGCTTTGTACGGCTTTGAGCCGTGTATGGGGAGTGGGGATGAGTGTCACTCTTAGAACGCATTCACTGCTGTAAATACTACGTGTATTTTGCTAAGTCGTGGACAAACCATAGAGCTTATGATCCCCAGCCCTACATAGTAACAGTTAGGCACAACCAAAACACACATATATGTATATCAAGTCTAACATAGTCTTGCTATGTCTTGCTAGAAATGAGCACAGAAAACGCCAATGTAGGCTGTATATTTTAAATCACTTTTCAATATTTGTTCAACACAGTTTAAGGAAGAGGTCTGGTTTAACTTTCTCTGGCATAAAACCTTGGCAAACGTGTCCATGTATGTTTAGAGTCAAGACGTGCAAGTAGTTTTTTTCTATTACACTTTTTTTCAGGGTAATATATATTCCCAGCAAAATAAGTATTATCAGTCCTTTTTATACCAAACATAAAATTCATAGTTAATTACATTGTGGAATGAGCACTAACTTTTCCAATAACATTTTTGAGTTTATAAAGAGTTATAAGTCTATATTGAGAACCAGTCTGAAACTTTGAATAAAACAAAAATCTGTATTTTAATCTTTCAACTTCATTTGCGTGCGAAGAACTTCTTAAATATTGACAAATTGTGAGTTACAATAACTAGCAGAAACGCCGCCCTACGGGTGACTGTTTGTACTAGTAATTATTAATAATAGTATTCATACCTCATTGAAAAAAAAATAAATAGAAAAAGTGAAAATTTTATCTAAAAAAGTTTTTTTTTTCTGAGAAGTACTGCACAGGAAAAGTGTTCGGATTGTGCTCTTTAGTCACACGCAACTCATTACATCAAAATGATTCAATGTACAGAGCTCAAACTTTTCATAACTTTTAGTGATATAAACTGTAATGTTTTTATACATTAAAAGTGGTACCGTTTATTGAAAAAATAATAATAGTTTTTAGAACTCCAGTTTTTCAGTACTACATTTAAAAATTACACCAATAAAGATATAATCAAACCCTCACGTACAGTCCTAATGAAAGTCGTGTTCTTGTTGTGAGGAGAGTACTTTTATTTAAAATTGTGTTCTATTATAAAGAAATGGTTGTTGCACATACCACAGTTATTTTTCTAATTGTCTGAATCTCGAATACTCAAAGTGTGAATTTTTTGTGGATTTTTGTTTGTGGTGCCATTCAATAGATGGCGTTTGATTACATACATAAATACTGACACACACGTCCATTACAGTAAGAATATTTTCATCAAGCATCCCTAACTTGTGTAACAGGGTCAAAATAGGTTTTTTAAATAGAAAAAACTTAAACTACTTATATTTTACTCCAAAGTTTACCATTTTCATGTGCACAGTCAACAAATACGTATCTTGTCAGTTTATATTTCAAAGTAAAAGCAACAAGATATTATAATTAGTACATACATAGATAGACCATTATGAATCCTTGGGTCATCAGGAAAGACTTGAAATTGACTTTCTTTTATTCAAGGGTCACGGAGGGCCAAATATTGGCCTGGTTTCTGACAACACTCTAATTTAAGTTTACGAAATCATCTTTCCCGCCAGTGTTTAATGAAGTTTTTTTTTCTTTCGTTACATTCTGTTAACTTATACCAGGTTCAATAAAATCAACTAAAAAGAAAAGAAAAAACGGTAACAAAATTTCGCTTTTATTTTAATGTCTTCATTGTAACTAAGCATGTATCAAATGTTTAAATGGAATTTATCATATTTCTGTAAATCATATTAATTATTCTATCAGATGGTACATCCTACTGACTAATGAAGCCATAGTTTTGTAAACTAACATAGTGTGTGTACGTTCAGTGTGGTTTTTTTTTATGTTAGTTTGTATTTACTCCCCTTTTGTTGTAAAATATTCATAATTTCGGGCTTTACGTTTTAAGGGACAATGGGCTTTTAAACTGCCACTTTTTATACTTGGGATGCTGTCGATTCTGGGAAGTTTGTCTGTATTGTTTCTCCCAGAAACTCTTGGTTTACGAATTCCTCAGACTGTCGAAGAAGGAGAACGTTTTGGAAAAAATTTAACTTGGAAAGAACTTCTGCTATGTCCCACCAGGTAGTCTTTCCACTATTAATATCAACTGCTTGTTTCTTTTTAAGTTTCTATCATTACTTATTCTCAAGTGTAACTAAAATATTAGAATAACTTATGCACTTAAAAAGATTTATCTGTTTACTTGTTTGTGTGAGAATAGCCATTAAACTTTTCAAACCTACTATGTCTACTCTTCCTAAAGTTTCCATTTAAACAACAAATTAAAAGAAATATCTGTTTGGTTGGAAACATTTAAAAATAGACCAAACGATACCCTAGTGGTTAAAATACTTTTATTTTCATCCACAGCAATAATAAAGTATGCTTAGTAACCAACGAAGAAGAAGAAACTGTATTGTTAATTGCTGAGGATAATAGCGTGTTAACAGATGACGCAGAAAATTTCGAAAATATGAGGGAAGATATAGAATTAACATAATAAAATACGTGAGTTTATTCTTGGATGTTTCTTTGGCGGCAATGTTTGGGAAATGTGACGTAAAGTTTAAGGTTTTACCACGTTAAAAATTCTATACAATTGTAATCTTCCATTATAATTATATGAATTTTCAAATAATGAAATACAATAAAAGTATTTTAATCAAAATATTCTTTTTTTTTGTTTATTGATTTAAAATAGAAAACATATAGTCAGTGTTTCACTCAGTAAAACTTGTACAGAATATTAAAACCAACAGCGAGTATGATATTACTTTAAGCTATATTTTTAATACTTTAATCTAGAAGCTTCCTGTACTATGTAGAAATAAGATATAGCAAAATACCAAAATCAGTGATCTAATGAGTTAATTAATAATTTAGTTTAGTGTCTGTTAGTGACTTAGCCAGAGTTATAACGTCTATCCGTCTGTTAGTGAGCCATTCAACGTGTTTTTATCGATCAGTTTGCGAGGAAATTTTGCACATAAGTTAAGCGAACATTTTGGAGTTAGGCCTATCAGTGAACGTAGCCTGTAGCAAACATTATTGAAAAAATATATTAATTCAGTACTGTTACTTGGACTGGATTTGGCATAATTTTTACCAAATAGTTTAAACACACTCGTCCAAGTGGAACACGTCACAGCAATATGTATATATATATAAATGTAACAGTCAAAAACAGTTACTTAACATTAACTAACACCAACCTCAGATGTGATCAAGATAAATCTACGGTTTTAAGCTATCGCAGGCTGTGTTTCACTAGCTAGGTTAATGATGAAAAATTACACCCAATGATGAAAGATTTTGGCTATATGTTATATGTATTTCCATCTTTATCTTGCAAGTTGTATTATTGGAAAAATTTCGGGGTGTGGCAACATTTTACGATTTATTCTTACAACTAGGCCTAAATTAATGTTGGTCTAGTGTTTCTATTTAGAAATTGAGAACAAGACTTCTTGATACATTGTATGTCTTCTATTATCCATTTCTTAAACAACGGTGCGATACAATATGGTGAAACTTTTAACAACAGCCCATATTTTATACCTGGTTGAATAGATAAAATATTAATTTGAAATTACTGGCCCTGTTGGCAAGATAATTTAGAACTATTTTCCTTTTTTTTATGGAATACTTTTGGTATAATTTTCAAGGTAGCTAATTTGTTGTAAGAATTAAACAATTCTCTCAAGTACGTGTGATACGTCTTAATAGGAAACTTTGAATTAATTTTCAGCCAAAATATTATAATTTTAAGAATACGAATAAATATGACCGATATTTGGTTAAACCTTATTTTGTTTCAGTTACATTATATGATTTAATTCGAAAGGAAAATAAGATATAATAATAAAAATAATAAAGTTTGAGTCACATACAAGTATTCTATAATGATGAAGCAGTATTTACATATTCTATGTCGATGAAAAGATGTTAACCCTAGAATTACCGATAGTCTTTATAAACACATATTTATAAATTGCTGTTGATCCTCACGAGTTTATTGGATACTAGGTCCTTAATGAGATATGGATCAGGCAAAAGCTTTTAAACAAGAGTACACTAAATATTATAGTTAATTCCATTAATTACTACTACGGATTACCATTCACTTCTCAAGGAAAATGAGAGATTTCAAATGTTTATCGTCAGTTCTTTAAATGAATATTGTTACAAGTAAGAATATAAAATCATTCAGTAAGGTGTAATATGCGGATCCCACCAGTAGAAAACAGTTAAATACTTCTTTCGTAATGGTGTCTTTAGGTAGAAGGATTATTATATGATTACTCAGTAAAAGGCCCCGGCATGGCCAGGTGGTTAGGGCACTCGACTAGCAATTTGCAGGTCGCGGGTTCGAATCTCTGTCCCACCAAACATGCTCGCCTTTTCAGCCGTGTGGGGGTTATAATGTGACGGTCAATCCCACTATTAGTTGATAAAAGAGTAGCCCAAGAGTTGGCGGTGGGTGGTGATGACTAGTTGCCTTTCCTCTAGTCTTACACTGCTAAATTAGGGACGGCTAGCGCATATAGCCCTCGTGTAGCTTTGCACGAAATTCAAAACAAACAAACAAACAATACTCAGTAAAATTCATACAAAGTCCGGCCACTTATTTATAGTGAGTTATTCAGTTCTTCGACTCTAACGTACAAGATCAATAGGCTAGAAGCTTTCACGAACTAATAATAGCCAAACTAACAAATCAAATTAGAAACTTAGTATTTACATTTCCTCTCGTATCTATGCTATAAACTCAACAAAATTTAACTATATTGAACCGAATTATTAACTAACTAACTAACTCACTGACTGCCTCACTAACGAATTGATTAATTCTCTCGAAGTAACTGACTCGTTCGTGTTTTGACAATTTTTGTTTTCTACAAACCTCCCGAAACTTCAAGATGATATGTCAGATATAGAAATTCAGAAAGCTTCTGGAGGTTACACATAAACATCATGTTAAATTATCTGCAGCAAGCAAACATCTAGATTAAAATACTAAAAATGTAGACTACAACACTGCCCAGTCCCTGAATTTTAAAGTACCTTGAACAGTCGTAATACACAAATAAATCAGTAATATTTGAAATTTGAAGTTACATAATTACTGTTCATAAACAAACACTACAGCAGGTCAACAGTTAAGTGGGTTTAACAAAGAACAATAACAATTCTGATTAACAAAACAAATGCTCCATTGCTTTATTGACTAAGTATAACTAAACTTTCCATTCACCAAATCATTGTGGTGGTTTTCTTTTGTGTGGCCTCTGAAAGAAGGGATGAAATTTTGTCTATTACTTTCATTTCCTGTCTTGTCACTAGAGGAATTCTCTCGTGGTGAATGGTAGGTCAATCATTGGTGATACTATAGAAGTGGTCCTGAAAGGAGTTATGGGCTTTTTAGCAGGTTATCTTTCCACTAGCAAATATTTTTCTGTAATTATCTTGACAAAAACCTTGGGCTTTTCAGAAAGCTAAGCTACCATTGGCAATATCATCTTTGAAGATAACCAGTTTGTTGTTTTTTCGATATGGTACTTCCAAAAATGATCCTGGTGGATGACCTTTGACTTGGACCACCTGTCCTAGATTTTGTACACCACATCACTGACTCTTTTGACTAGAATATATTGATATTCTCAATAATCACTTAACTGCGGATTTTGTTGTAGAGATTGTATGTCATACCACGTCACCAGTCTTATCATAATTTACATCATTTTACCACTACCTCACTTAATTCCTTCTTGATTAAAGTAATATATGGCATCAATGGTGTTCTTTAGTCTACCTACATATTCTGTGCAAGATCCTGCTGAGTAATTGTCTTCAGGATATGAGTAAAATGGAACTTTGAGTTATTTCCTAAACTTTAGTTATGGTGGTGTGTTGCCTGTAACTTCGTGTATTGCTACATCATAACTCATTAGTAGTAGTGGAAGATCTCAATCCCACATTTTCTGATACTAATTCACATAAATGGTTAATTGGTTTAAAATTGTTTGGTTTATCTCTCCATCAATCCTTAAGGAAGGACTGTTATCTAGGACTTTTTGATTCCAAGGGTTTGACACATCCCCAAAAATCAAGTTGATTCAAAGATTCATCCTTGATCTGGGTGAAGCTCTATAGATATTGCAAATCTTGTTAACAAATTAATTGATAAGTTTCTTTCATAAGGTGTCTGTTTCCTAGTTTAGAACAGCATATGCTCCTGAAGATTGGGTGAAATAGTTGGTCACCACCGTGATGTATTTATTCCCGCTGTTATCCTGTGGCAGAAGACGAAGAATATTGGTATGTATTCTCTCAAGTAATTCTCCAACACAACAATAATATAGTTACCCACGTTGTTTTTTGATGAACTTTTTAACTTACAGTATAGCTCAGATTACTTACACCAATTTTCTGGCACCCATGCCAATAGAAGTATTCTACTATTCTTTTTAGTGTTTTCTTAACATCTAAGTGTCTAGCTTTTGGAAGGTTGTGGAGATGATGGAGTGTTTCTAAACATAATGGCTATGAAAGTACCAACTGTAATCATAGTGTCTACCCACTAGTATCTTTCTATTTCTGACATAACAAACCTTCTCATGGGCATAACGAACCCAAACGTGCCAAATATGTCTTTGTCTTTAGACTTTCTGGAGCAACGTTTTGCCATGAGGGTTTTTTGTCACTTTTCTTCATCCTTTGAATAATTGGTTTCAGACTACAATATTTTGCCACATCATCTCTTCGTTGAGTGTTGGACCTCATTAGATTCATTTGTGGATATTCCTTCTTGGACTGTGCTCTAGTGTAGTTTTGGTTAGTCATCTTTATCCTCTTGTACTTCACTCATGTTACAGCATTTGCATTCTTCAATAATATAATATATTTGGGATAATGTTTTGGTGTTTTTATGGTTCTGTCCTGGGTAATGTATAACTTTCTTGAGGTTTCTGGATCTATCTTGTAAGCATTGCAAAAATTCACCAGCCTCTTCAATTCTTCATAATCTGTCCACAATTTAAACATTTGTCCATATATGCAGTGATGGAAATGACTTTATGCTCAAACAATACTTTTCGAATTGTACAATACCTCCTTTCTGCAGCATTCATTATCTTGCTGCAATAGGTGATCACATGTTGTACCTGTGATAACACTGCTACCTCTGCAAATCACTGATATCTGTATCTAATATGAGTGAATCTAGCATACCTAAAAATTAGGTATGCTGGTAAAATCATCGTGGATAATTCTCTCTTCAGTACGTTGAATGCATGTTTACAGTCAGCAGCCCAACAAAACATATTTGGTTTATCAAGTAATTTGTACAGAGAACAAGGTATTTCACAGAATGATTTTGCAAATTGACAACAATAAAATCAAGTCGAAAAAACCTTCTCACCTCTTTGTTGTGCAATTCTGAACAAATTCAATTTTAGTTGATACTGTAGACATTCTATCTGTCCACTGACTACATGTGTGTGTGTGGCAGGAAACTTACCCGTTGATTGAGAAACTGACACTTCTTGAGATTTAGCTTAGTGTTCTCTTTCCTTAACTAATACAGTGATTTCCTTAGTCCGTCACAAACA